CAGTCATCTCCATCCCAAATCTCCATCGCTTCCCATCTCCATCGACTCCTCATATTCCTTTTATTTTTCAAACGTAATCCCACACTATCGATTTAATCCCCGGCATCAATCCTACCCTATATGGTTGCTCAGGGATTTCTTTTCATTGACAAGATTTCATTACTTGGTGTTAGTCTTCAAGTATTTGTTGGTATATATATGGGTTGTCATGTTGTTCATTGTCTATTAATAGGTACCAGTTGCTTATGAGCTAAAAGACAAATATCTTGGTTTTGTGTTTTGTTTATCAGGTCACAGAAGATGGAAGTCCAAGTTAGTTACCCCAAGCAAAGGAGTGATTGTTATGATAGAGTAACTATTGATTTGATGAATTTTAAGTTGTTTAGTGTTAGGTTTGTTTTTCATATGAATTGAGCTTATTTTGTAAAGAATTGAAGCTTATTTTGTTTAGTGTTAGGTTTGTTTTCAATTTGAACTAAGCTTACTTTGTGAAGTTTATAGCTGTGTGGAGTTTAGAAATTTGTAATGCATTTATATAAGTTCTCTTAATTATTGGTAATGCCCTTACAGAAGTTTTGCACTGCGCATCTTATGGCTACAGCAAGGATACACATACTTTGTTCTAGGATACACATACTTTGTTCTAGGATCCACAATTAGACCCTTTCCTCCATTTACTTCTAAGTCATGCCAGCAAACATCAGAACATAAGAAAAATTCATGTTCTTAATTTTCTTATTTCTAATTTATGTCAATGGAGTTGTTGATAATGGGATGCCAAAAAAAAAATATATGGTTACCTCCAAGTCTATTCTTCTTCCTTCATTTATTATTATTATTATTTTTTTTATTTTTTTTATTATTTTTTTTTGTGTGTAATGGAACAAGTGGTTAACAGTCTTAAGGGAAGGATGTTGGGGAGAGAGAGCACGGCTTCAAACAAAACTTCTACAATTCCTAAATAACAAGCTCCATACCAAGATAGCTTGGTCCGAGTAGAAAAAAAAAAAAAGTCAATTTTCTTTAAGATGGGTTTTAAATTCAAGTTTTATGAATAAAAAAATAAAAATGAATATGAATTGATTATGGATTAATGGAAACTCAAATGAGATTATCGATAATAGAGGTTAATACCAAAAAAAGGCGTTAACACATGGGAT